CTGAAGAAATTAGTAACTCATTAGATCAAAAACAGTACACAGTTGGAATATTCCTTGACCTGAAGAAAGCATTTGATACCATAAATCACAGCATTTTAATAAAAAAAATTAGAACGTTATGGTATCAGGGGCARTGTGATGAGATGGGTGAAGAGTTATCTTAGTGACAGGAAGCAGTTTGTGAAGATGGGTGTTCACTGCTCTTCATGTTTGGACATTACTTGTGGTATCCCCCCAGGAGTCAGTGTTGGGTCCTAAGTTATTTATTTTGTATATTAATGATTTATGTAAGGTATCAAGAGTATTTGAAATATGTCTTATTTGCTGATGACACAAACCTATTTTTCTCAGGTAACTTGAAATTGTTAGAACATAGGATAGATACAGAGCTAAAGAAAATAAATTGTTTTGACATGAATAATTTATCACTGAACTTAAGCAAAACTAAATTCATTATTTTTGGGTTTGGCAGAGCTAAACTAGAGTTACAAGTTCATTTAGAGGAGCTTAAAATTGAAAGGGTGACTGAAATTAATTTTCTTGGAGTAATAACTGATGAAAAAATAAGCTGGAAATCTCATTTCAGACATGTACAAGCCAAAGTGTCAAGGGGAATTGCAATATTACATAAAGCAAAACAAGTTCTGAATTACAAATCACTTTATATCCTTTACTGTTCCATAGTTCTTCCATATTTAAATAATTGTGCAGTAGTTTGGGGCAATAATTATAAAACTGTTATACCACCATTATTCATTTTGCAAAAGAAAGCAATAATGCTACGTTCACACCGAACGCGATTTCAGCGTCAGGAGCATCAGGTTTACATGCAAAGTCTATGGTGGATGCGCTTCAAGCAGCGTCGGGAAGGGCTGCGGCGCCTCAAGCGCGACTAGAGCAGCGCGATTTGAACGATTTGAATGATCTGTGCGTTGAGGCGCAAATCGCTGAAGTTGGAAAATCTGAACTTTTGCAGCCCGACACGCCGCATCAACCAGAGAGACTCCACTGTGTGACGTGGGGTCGACAGAGCGGAAGCCCGGGAAGTCGTCAATCTTAACAATGGAGGATAAACTGATTATTGCTGTCTGCGCGTACCCGGTCGTGTACGATCAGGCAAGTTTACAGTATCGGGACAGGAATAAAAAGGACCTTGCTTGGAGGAAGATCAGCAAGGAAGTCTGTGTTTCGGGTAAGTTATCAAAGTTTTTACCATAGTAAATATTTCCCCGCTTTGATCTAGCAAAATCCGTCCAGTGCAGCTAGTTTCAAGCTGAAGAATCTGTTTTTATTCAGAGGAAGTGTGCAGGAGAAGGTGGAAGAGTCTGAGGGACACGTATGCGAGGGAAAGTAAAAAGGAGAAGGAAAAAAGGAAGAGTGGTGCAGCAGCAGGAACACCACAGAAGTGGAAGTATCTGGCGGTCCTGTCATTCTTCGAGCCCTTCGTCGCTCCACAACAGACCACCAGCAATATGTCAGGAAGGGTCGAGGAGGAGCAGACCGCTGGGTACAACCACCCAGAGGAGCCAGAAGAAGCAGAAGCAGGGCTTTCTGGAGCAAGAGGTCTGTTGTTTAGTGAGGCAATAAAATACATAGAAAGTAAAGTTTTATTTATTTAGAAAGGTTCCATCTCCCCAGTTTTGCTACCTTTTTGTTGTTGTTAATAAAATTAATGTTTTTATTTTTTCATGACAGAAACAGCCGCTGTCCAAGGTCCTGCTGACTTTGCAGACCCAGACCTTCCTGCTTCTGCTTCTTCTGTGCTGGCTGGACCATCCCCTGCTGCTGCACAGACGGGTGTGTATGGAGAAATGGTTTGCAAATTTAGGCTGTGTTAAAGTATTTCTAAATTAAATAAATAAAAATAGATATCAATAATAAAAATAATATGTTCTGCACAGCTAGAGTCCCCCCAAAATATATTGTCTGCACCATGACATGGTGTTTGAGACATGTTGGCCCTTTATCAGACATGTCTGATGTTGTCCACTGAAAGACAAGTGTGAAAACATTATGAAATGTTTGAAACGTAGTGGTATCAAAAATACATGATTTGGGTGCTCACTGGCTAAGCAGAGTTCATTATTTAAAATTTTACTGCAAAATCAAATTCTTGCAACCTGCTAGTAGTCTGTGAAAAAAAATTAATAGTCTCATTACACTGTGTGCTTTGAAGGTCCATCAAAGAAGAGGGTCAGGCGACGGCAGCGAGAGTTGGAGCCCACGGTTTGAGAGGGAGATGTTGGAGACCCTGAAGGCCAGAGCCACACCACCGCCCTGCTGTGAAGACCAACATTTCCTTCTCTCTTTGCTTCCTCTCCTGAAAAAGGTGCCTGATCATTCTAGGGAATTTGTAAAATTTCAAATGTATAAATTNCTATTTTACCCGCTGTATATACATATGAAGGCTAGATAAGTCATAGCGGAGTCTCCGGCATCCTCATATGGCGGCCATCTTAGGACAGTTAGCAACACTAGCTGTAGCTGTGGTAAATGCTTTGAGGTGAGTGATTTCCACTAGCAAAAAACTGCATAATTCACTGAAATCTTGATGGACTTACAAGCAGCTTAGTTTATTAAAAGTGTTATAAATGTGGCTGTGATTTGGAGTAATCAGACAGCAGTTTTTCTTTTTTTTTAAGTTTTATTCGTTTTTCATATTCCTAGTTGTGTGTCACACTCACAGTAATA